TATCTGGCTCTCACAACAGCTGTGCTGTGTCTCCATTCCATTGGCGTGTCCTTTAACATCTGTTTCATTATGAAACTCTCACTTTCTCAGCCCCTCTCCATCTATCCGACTCCTGACCTTTTATAGCAGCACCTTATCAAGTTAATCTGCTGGCCCTCGCAGTGCAGTAGTTGCACGATCCTGCCACTGGGAGGCAGAGTAGCTCTTCATTTCCTTCTGCACATGTTTCTCGAGCCCTTCCTGTGGGCTGGTTGAGTATTTTGGGCATGCTGCAGTTGCTGTGGAATCCCAGCATGCACCACAGACCTAATCAGTACTCTTATTACAGAGGGAAGCCCATTCATTTGATTAAGTGCCTTGTTTGTTCAGACGGTATCTGTTTTCTATATTTACCTACACAATGTCATGCATACACATACAGCCTCCTGAGTGCAGACATCTCATTCAAACCACAAATCATCTTAAAACATGAATATTGATTCAAAAAAGAGCTAGGCAGACATTTTTGTTCTGATCCACCTTATTGGATCGATAACGTATAGGTAAGTAGAAAGTTGTAATTGTAATGATGGGAAGAAAAAATATCAACATGGACATGATTTACATAATGAATAAAACACAACAGGGTGTGCTGTTATAGGAAGTTAATTAATTTCCTATAACAGCATGTGCCAAAGTGTTTTTTCCTCTAAAACCACAGCAAATGACCAACAATTACATTTTTAATTAATTAAAGAATGATACCTCATACTTTTTATTAGTTTATAAATACATTTAATGTAGTTGCTGTTATTACTTGTGTTATATAAGCAAGAAACAATCGTTCCCTCATCAGCCTCTCTTTTTTCTCTTGAAGTTTAGAGCTTGTCACGTTATTGTGAAATCGGCAAACTTTCCTGAACACTTTGGCGTGGAGGAAAAGTTACTAAGAGTTACAAAACGCTGACACTGGAGACTCCTTCCATTAAATAAAGTTCATTTAAAAAAAAAAAGCTACACCACTGAAAGAAGAACGAAGAAACTGTACTGCACTGAACCTACAGAAAATACCCAGTCTAACTGTTAGCAGCTAACAAGGGAACTCACAATAATGTTGGCAATACGTGGAATTCTGCTCTCCTAGATAGTTATAAAGTAAGATTTAATGGAATTCAACTCTATTTAACTCTATGAATATTACAGACATATACTGCTGTATATACTGTATGTATTAATATGTTTTGAGTTGAAAGAACATTCAACACTGTACACACTCGGTTGTGTGTTGGTCTTACATTGTGTCAACGTTTCTGTAAAAGCAGGAAAATGTTCTTGGAATGTTCTGAGGGTGATGTCGGAAAGGACATCATTTTACTCATTTACATTTTTATCATTTACTGGACGCTCCAAAATAATGTCCTGAAAACTTTTTTCCTCCCGTTTTGTCCTCCATTTAGTCTTGGCCAATTCCCACTTACCAGCCAGTAACCCTCTATCATACGACAGCTACTAACCAGGGAGGGTAACATATAATTCCTCCATGACATGTAAAGCCAGCCAACTGAAAGAGAGTATGCCATCCCTCCCACACAGAGAGCACAGCCGGTTTTGCTCCCTTGACTCCTGGCCTGGATGACTGTAGCATCATCAGGATTTGAAATTGCGATCTCAAGACAATAGGGGTCCTGAAAACTTTTAAGGATGCCCAGCAAAAGATGACATTTAGTTACCTGCTTCACGTCAGTTAACAACAGCACACAGACTACACTCAACACACTACTTCCTTACTGCTGCACAGATTTAAGACAAACAGGCAGCAATGGCAATAATTCATAATTCTCATGCCTTAACCCTGATATGTTAAGCTGATAGGTTCACTTAACTTGCTTTATATCTTCCTGCTGTCTTTCCCACTGTAGATCCTGAGCTGTGGGTCAGCAGGCACAAATGACTAATCAAATACAATATGAGGAAGACAGGGTTCTTGTGATGCCAAAACACATCTTAAAACCAATTAAAAGGCGCAAAGTACTGCTGCCTCATCAAATCTCTTAGATATTCCTTCATCTCTCTTTCCCTCTCATTTTTCTCCCTCTTCTCTCTTCCACTTCTCCTTCCTGTTTCCTTCACTCTCTAACTCTGAGCTGAGCTAATGGGTATCAACTTGCGCTGATCGTTATTGTTTTTTTCACATTCCAGTGTGATTACCTGGATACATATACAGTCTTTTTTTCTCTTGCATCTTTCTGGCAACGAGCGTCCAATCAGAGCAGGCCGGGGGCAGATTTATCACGCATGGCGACTAAAAATATATAGCTCTAAAAATTCTTTACTATTTGAACTTATTATCCACTGAGAAGAGCACATTCCTTGTGGGAAACAAACTTAGCTTATGAAGTCAATTTGTAAAATGAATAATATTACTTATTATTATAATTACTTACATATTACTAACTTTATAAAATCATGAACATTAAATCATTATAAGGGTATTATTCTAAGATACTTATAGTATTTTTATATGGCCCAGCTCTACTGCATAATGATGTGAGGGTGTCTATATGTATAAGATCTGTAAAATGTATAATCTGTCAGACTTATTCACATTTCTCCATGGATTTTGCAGAAATAGACATGTACTTCTGTGATGCTGCGATCACATACCTTCTATTATTTGTACAACATAATAGCAAAAGCCTATTTGAGACCTTAGCCAAGTAGTGACATTTTGCATTATGAGAACTGTTATGAATTTTCATTAGTTTCACACCACTGCTTATTACTTTTTGACGAGTGCCACAGACACTGAAGAGAACAGTTTGAAGAATTGTTGAAGTGTTTTAAAGAATAAACACTTATGTCTTTGTCCAGTTGCCTTTAAAAATTCTGTTTTCATTGTATAGAAGCCAAAATCGATCAAGTTTAAAAAACTTGTAGTTCTGGGAGTTTCTGAACTACAGCCAGTTTTTTTTTTTGTTTTTTTTTTTACATATATTGATCTGCTCTGCTACAGCATTTTTCGAGTGCTCAGTTCAGTCTGCTCCCTGTCGTGGAAGCAAATACCTTGCTGGGTCCACAACTGTACCGAGGCCTGCCCATTGGTGACCCCTGGCTATACAGAAAGTCCTAGTGCGAAACGTTTGTTTGTTTAATTGTTGCATTTTGCATACATCAGCCATCGCTTCACACATTCACTACCTCCACCTTGTGATGGTGGTCTTCATGGTGAGTGCATGTTGGAGTTACCTGTTGGGTTTGGGAAAGAGCACACAGGTGTTGGGCTTGCGGATGAAGTATTCGTCTGCTGCCCGGCTGATGCTTTTGTGGTTCTCCTTCTTGTGTGGGCGCTCCAGAGAGATCGGTGTCTCCACTTTCGGCCTCAGGAGACCCAGATATGGTGGCAGCATGTGGATGAAAATCTGGAGACAATGGACCACAATGAAAATAGTTATGATATTAAGATGTCTGTTATTGTATTTCACATTAAACTCAAATTTAAAACCATTTAATGGACCTCTTTTAATAGTGTTCATAAACTTTTCCATAATTATTAAATGTTTAATGATAGCAGTTAGCTGAAGTGACTGAAATTCTTAGCAATAAACAGTGTATATGAGATGCTTGTTTGCAATCAAGCAACATCTGGTTTGAACTTTCAGAGTTTACTAGAGTGTATAATTGTACTCTAAAAGTGTTGACAAGAAAACGAGGGGTCAGTGTGTAAAAAAGGTTGAGTATGTGATGAAATATAACAACAAACATTGTCAGCGAAAGACAAATGAAAGACAGGTGACCTCTAGAAGATTTTTGCCTTGTTCAGCCTTCTGAATGCCCCATGTTTCACGCATGAGATCCGTTTATTTTAATTACTGCTAATGTTGAAGGAGGTCATGCATTGTTCAGAGAAAAGTTTAATGAGCACACATTTACGTTTGTTACAGAGACAGTGCTATAAATATAGCAGGGGTAAAAACGACATAAGACTGTAATTTAAGACCCTGTGTTTGGACGTTTTCCTTGAATAACCTTGAACAGTAATAAAAAAGTAGTGGGGTGGTGTGTAGCTGCCAACTATTTAAGCTACAGACAGTGGAGGCTGCCAGGCATGACTTCATGAAATGTGCGAGAGTCAGAAATTGATGTTATGAGGGCTCACCTAGTGGACACACACACACACACACACACACAATCCCAATTGTCATATTCATACAGTGCCTCTTCTGGGTCGGTCTGACTATTTAGACCACATACATAGAAAGGATTTAAAGAATGCAAGAAATCTAAATTTGTGTTCATTGCATTAATTTGATTTCTTTTAGAAATAAAAAAAAACTATGCAAATGAGATGTTCAAAACATGTTTCTTGGTTTATAACAATAAATATTACAGGAAGTTCTCATATTATTTCAGATTCATGTTGGAGCTAAAATTAGTGAAAGATCAACGAATAACCCAGATGTGTATAAACAATTACTGGGAAGCAAGAAAAATAGACTAAAGATTGCCGTTCATGCCTGATGTACTGTTAATATGGATAAAAATAGCAAAATGGTGATGGTTTTGCAGATGCTGCAATTTAAGCTTATTATAAAATTAAAAATATTATAAAATTTAGTTCTACATATTTGTTGATCCCATTTTAATGATATCCTTTATGAAAACAAGAGTACACATCATAACCAGAGAATAGCTCGTGTACTTCCAGGTTGACTCTATTCACACGGAAATGAGTACCATGGGCATTTTTTCATATTTGGATTCATGAATATTTGACTTCTAGATTTGGTGAAACAAGTAGAACCAATTAAAAATTGAATTCAATAATTCCTTGAAAATGAAAAATGAAATAAATTCCTATTTTAGTTTTGTTGTTCCTCAGATAATTGGTCTGCGTATTAGATGTATTAGGCACTGTTTTTACGCCGGATGCCCTTCCTGACACAAGCCTCCCCAATTTTATCCGGGCTTGGGACCGGCACTAAGAGCACACTTTTGCATGCAACCCCAGTGGCTTGGGTTGGTTCCTTGGCCAGGAATCGAGCCCGGGCCACAGTGGTGAGAGCCGCTGTGGCCTAACCACTAGTCCTCCAGGGACCCCTAAGTTCCTATTTTAGTGTATTACAAGAAAAAAGTGCTTTGGAATGAAAAATGAATGAACACAACCTACATGGACCCTTTTTTTTTTTTACCAGCACTGCTATTATAAGCTGCTTTATGAATACAAGCCATACAGATAAACATTGAATAGCTGAAGTGATTTGATTCTGAATAAAAAAAAAAATCAATCAGTTTTGTATTGCAACCCCCCCGCTAGTCTCTGCTTGATGTACTTCTTTGGAAGGTCCATGTACTTTTACATCCGTCTTCTCAGAGCTTTCCAGAGATTATGACTGAGCCTGAACTGGTCACTATAACATTTCTGAGCCATGAATCTAAAGTGTTAAGCAGATTTAACTATATATGTGACCATATACAGTATGTAGTAAATATTATTTGATTCCCCCATTATACAGCTACTGAACATATAGTGAAAGAGTCACAGGGCTGATAGAGTGATTAGTGTTGCTATATCACATTCTTACTTCTACATCCACTGTTCTTAGCTAGTCACTTTTCATTACTCTGTTTCTTTTGCTCCAGAAAACCTCTTGCCCCAGTTTCTTTTCAATTTGTGAGTGGAAGAGGAACCATGACAGCCCAATGGCATGTCTCACCTTTTCTCTAGTGGGCTTTCAATAACGTGGAGGCGTGAAGCTGTGAACTGTTCTAAAACAGTATTTTTCTTGATTTCCTTAGCGTGTTTTAATGTCCTTTTTTCTTTGTGGTTCATTTCTAAGCATATCATATAATGTTTTATTTTTTTTTATTTTTCCAAATCTGCAGTTTTCCAGGAAAGTCATGAACCCATCAAATGTGGCCAGAGCTTGCTACAAGGACAGCATCTCATTTACTCATATTCACACTTAAATCAAGTTTTCTCACCACTTTGTAATAGCCTTTTATGTCAAAATGGCAAATACTGTAGTGTCTGCTGTGGCAAATATATAGCTGCATTATAGAGCTCAAATAAGCTCAGCAGTTCTATAAGTTCAAATAAGTCTATAAGTTCACCAATTGAGTGAGGAGATTTAAATCTCTGTGCAAACTTCCTTTTGGAGGTTTTTAACTCTAAATCCAAATTTTTTAACTCCTTTAACTAAACCAGCTTTCCAAGGAGAAGTAGCATCTAAAAGCTAGAGCCAGATGTGTTTAAGGTTCAACGTTTGAACAGCTGGTATTCAGCAGAAATATCACATTACATAACAGATTTTCACTTATTAAGAACGGTTTGCTAAAGACATCTGGTGAAAAGAAGCTGCATATCTACTTATCTGACTCTGTGTACGGAATAACTCAGAAGATCAGTGTAGTAGGGTGAATGGTTAAGAGTGCTGCACTGTTGGCTCACCTTGCGCACCAACAGGGGCATATGGTGGGTGCTTGGTGAGCGGTGGTGCAGATTTAACACCACCACACTGAGAATAACCGAACACGTCACCAGGACCATGGTGAACATCAGGTAGTTGACGATGATGGGGACACCCAGAGATGTCTCGGGGACTTTATCAGCCAGCAAGAGCAGAAAGACAGTAAGGGTCAGCAGCACATTGATGGTCAAACCCATCTTCTCTCCTGAGCAGAGACAAACGGAAACAGTGTAAGAGGAGGAAGACATGCATGCTTAAGAAGTAAGAAGTTCTTAGGCATTGACATACATAAAGATAAATATAGTGGCAAGAATATCTTTACCTTGTCCATATACACCCATCCCAATCCAACAGCCATTTCATTCATAAAGCTGTTTCTGTACATACATGACCCACGTAATAATACAGAAAAACACACACTCTCTAGTGTGCAGCTTCTTCCCCGAGGCTTTCTCACAGAGGTCACTGAGGTCAGGTCTGAGCAACTGCATGTAACAGTGATTTATGGAGTGGATTTTACCAAGATAAAAAATGAACCCAGTGGTCATGTAATGAGCTGTAACACTGCTGTTAGAGGCCACACAGGGGACAGCTCGGGTAAATCACCACTGGCTGAGTCACAGATTTAAACCAGTTAACTGAATGGAACATTCTATCACACAGGAGAGTCTACATACCAAATACTCAAAAACAAATGTCACAAAATAAACAAATATTATAACATATATCATATTATATCAAATAACCAGCTTTGTATTACTCATCTAAAACATTTAGTCTAACACAGACTGTTTGTGTCTCCGTCTGCATTAGGGGTAGAGCGAATGATGATGAACCTGGTCATTGATATCTAGCCACAGGTTATACTAAGATTCATAGTTTATCCATTTTAGGATCAACTTATAGTAGTATTTGGACTACAGAGTGTCCCAAAAGTCTCCATAAATAGGGGAAATTAACACTTTTTAGCAAAATGTAACTTTTTTTTTTTACAAAAAAATCGTCTACATGATTGCCATTTCTTTGTAAACATACAGTGAGTCTCTCCCACTCATGATGAACTCGTGTTAACACATCTGGTGTTATGCATGTAATTGCATGTCCATCGCAACCTTGCGACAGCTTCCCGATCCAGCCATGAGAGTGATTTCAATACGTTCTTCTTTTATCAAAGGCATTCTTAAAGGCTATCCAAAAAAAAACATAGAATATAAACTAAGTATGCAAAATTTTGGAAGACATTTTGCTAAAAGGTGTTAATTTCCCCTACGTATGGAGACTTTTGGGACACCCTCTATATTTTGGACTAGCCTTAATCTGCTCCTGAATAATTGCCAATTAGAATAGTTTGGGGCATAGACAGAGTGAAAATTGACGGTTGCTTTTGTAGCAGTTTGCTATTTGATAAAAGCTAAATATTCCTGATTTATTTTATGTCTTTATGTCTCGGTAAATGATTAAATGTAAGTTTAATTAAACAATTGCAATTGTAATTAGTAACATTTTAGTTTTCTCAGTTTTTTCCTTGTACCTCACTGTTGTTTACTACAATGAGTCTACTACAAAGATCATGTTGAGTAAAACGCAAGTTCTGGCTGGAACTAGTGGGTCAAAACATCCCTCTAATTTGATGAAAATAACATCTGCAATTGATGAATGGTAATATTGACCTAAATCTAAAAGACCTTTCCAATGGATAATTCCCAAAGAAATATTAAGCTATTACTGGAAGCTTCAAGAATGTGGCAGATTTGAATTGTTGGGCCTCACCAGCGTCGGGTGGCAGATAGAAGTTGAAGATGGCGATGATCGTGATGAGGATGCAGGGCAGGATGATGTTGAATACGTAGTACATGGGTTTGCGCTCGATGATCAAGTAGAAGGTGATGTCTTCATACAGGTCCTCTTTCTTTACATTCTTCCTGGTAGGCTTGTGACGGATATGCCATTCACCGCTCTCTGTGGAAAAGGCAACCAATTAAGAGTGCAGGTGTGTGTTCGTGTGTGTATTTTGTTTATTCATCCAATGCTCTCTATAATGAATAAAGCAGATCTTTTTTCAGTTCTCTCTCTCAGAATCTGCCAAGGCTTGTCTGAGCTGCTTGTGTGTATTCATACCACTGAAACCGGTGTCATAGATTATCTCTCGTATCTCGTTGCCTTTCTCGTCGAGGGCATGCTGAAGATCCATTTCAGAGGAGTCATAAGTGAATGACTTGAACACCATGGTGCAATTCTGCCAGTCAAAGGGAAAGTACGTTACCTGCAAAACGAAATGAAGGATTTGTGGGGAAGACAGATACAAAAATGAGAGTATAAGAATGGAGTAAAGAGAGTCAGTATGTCAGTATTATGTGTGTACATATGACAGTAATTTTGTGTGTATGTGTCATCCTATGACATGCATTAGTCCTTTATTCTCGCTTTCTTATACACACGTACACATCCAGATAGCAATGCAAAACCAAATATATAAATAAAGGAAGGTGAGTTTTCAGAAATAATGTGTGTGTGAGAGAAAGAGAAAGATAAAAGGAGAGAGAAAAAGGAGAGAATAAGCAGTAGTACGTGTCTGAGAGAGAACAAAGGATGAAGAGAGTAATTTAGGAGAAACAACTCAGATTAATGTGAGGAAAATGGTTGAGACAAATATATAAGCCTGGAATAAACACTTAAAATTATTGTTCCCACCCTGAAGCTGATTATTTTTCAATAAAGGACATCCTGAAATGTTTTTATGTCATAGCAATTTGCCAATCCTATTTTTTAAAATTTATTTAAGAACACTATGTCACACATTTTTTAACATTTACAGTTACATTTAATGTTGTGGAAGACAACTAGTTTGTGCTTTTACTGAGTAAGAAATTTGGCTACTCTATCCACCTCTGTAGTGTGCAGGCCATAAGTATTTGCACATTCATACAATGTATGTCATTTTAAGTCCATAGGACATAATCCCAGAAACTCCATGACTTTGGTTTTTATGTTCTTGAGTCTGTGATACTTGTGTATTTATTTCTTAATGTCAATCTGTGACACCTCATCTGTTCAGTACTCATGTCTTTTGATCTGTTGTCACTCACTGCTGTGTTACTAATTTCTACTGCTGTAACTAATTTCTAATGTTTGAATACATCGCTGATTGATTTGTCCTGATTTTTTTTTAGTTTCATGGTCATGTGTGAAATTGTGTGTGAAATTGTCCATTTACTTTTCGACTCATATAATGAGAGGTCTGTGGATAAAAGGTGCTTCAGGTCATACATGGTATAACTGATATGGATGTAGGTATGGCTGTAACAAGGACTCAGGACTCATTTTCCCTCTCTGCACTAGCAGAGGTCATGCTCACTACAAGCACTTCCGTTTCACTTAAGCAGGACATGTTACTATGTTGCGAAGTCTTGCCATTCCCAGTGTTTGTGTATGTTCTGAGGCTCGTCTATAGTGGTTTGCCTTATTGCACCTTTTCTGTGTTTTTGGATTACTGTTTTGTTTTAGTCTCTGGCTGTGCTATTTATTGACCAACCATTTGCTTGCCCTACCATTTCTGATTGTGTTTTTACTTTGCTCACCTTGTTCTCATTAAACCTTCTGCACATGGATCCTCACTCTGCCTCTGAA